ACTTGCCATTTAAGACGTCTCCATTTATTGCTCTGCCTCTTTTTCTCCTCTTGTTTATTCATTCCCCGTCTATCGTTCTTTGAGGGGAGCGAATGAAAGCGAAGGAGGAGAGCTGTCAGTTTCCCAATCTTTAATGGCCCCAGCTGCATCATTACTCTCTCAACACACTTGCACACAGGGTCAAACGTACTTAGGTAACAGATGAAGAAACGAGGGAGGGACGAAGGCCACCGAGAGAGGCCGAGGGATTCCATCATACTGGGAGGTTCACGGCACAAAATGACTGAATGAATGCACTGAGTAAATGAGTGAACGTCGAAGAATAGTGCCCGACAGACCTCCAGCTCAGCCACGATAAACAATCCCAGAATCCACTGTGAGCCTGCGTGAGGTGACACTGTATGAAACCCATCAGTACTGATGGTGTTGACAGCCAACGAATACAGAACCGCACGGCCCTCGCCCTGAAAAACAGCCCGGCTAATGCAGCGACGTGTGTGGGATGTGGATCAAAGGACCTGGGGGAAAGAGCGAGCGAGCGAGTGAGCGGTGGACAGAAAAGAGGAAGCAAAGAATGAAGGAATCAGAGATTTCTCTTTTCGGACTGACAGTATTCGTATTCATCGGAAAGCTTTGGGGGAAAAAAAGAACTATTTACAACCAAAAACAAAATCACAACAGTCGCTATTGAGTGCGCGACGAATTTATCGCACAGGTGCTCAGCCTGTTGGTTCGTTAAAGTGCAAATCTAAGAAATTGCTTTCCTTTATCCAGAATATTGCGAAAAGTCAAATCACGCGAATCAAAGTGAGCGCAAACAAAGCGAAACACTCTTCAAACCGGCTCCAAGACATCAAATACCAAACAAGTGTCTCATTCACGCCGTCATTATCATCTGTCATTAAAACCCTGATTAAGACCCTCCGAACTTCATTCAACTCTCTTTTACAGTCGGACGTTCCTGTAAGCCAAACAATTCTATCATCGGGCACTTCCCTCTCTCTCTCTCTCTCTCTCGCTCTCTTCAAGAAGTTCAAACGCTTCATCTGGGACTTGCCCTCCCTCCAAGCGACACAGATTGCATACAGAAGACATGACGTCGGTTTGGTAATGAGCCCCTTAGCATGAAAATGCAGCCTGCTGCGGTCGGCCCAGATTAGCATGAGAGATGATGGAGATTAGTGATGGAAATCCTAAACTCAAATAAAACTGATTGTTGAGCTCTTCACATCAGACAAGGCTCGAAACGTGACCTCGGCAGCCTCTGACCCCCATCAACCTGTTTTCAAATCGTAGAGGAGAAACGTGAGGAGAAAGTGAGTATGAGAGAGAGCTCTATAGACGCTCGTCCCCTGACAGACATCAAAGTGGGACTTGTTGGTCCAGTGCGAGCGGGATGGTGTCTATGAACGTCCAGTGCCTGACAACTTCAGCTTGTCTGTAGCTCTTGAGAAACTCTTCTCACTCACACACACACACACACACTGGAGAGGGGAGCCATTAGCAAACATGCAAACTGTTGAAGAGGCTGATTTACATACTCTTCAAAGCGTGCCGCTACCGTGCCGCCTTCAAAGAGGACAGAGAGTACCCCGAGCTTTTATGCAGAGTGAATAAACGTTTGTAGTTTTATGTCTGAGAAATTTTGTTGTTGGTTTTTACAGCAAGCCAAGTTGTGTGCTGGGATTCGATGCCGGGAAAGGGCAAACGTGATCGGTTTTGTGGTAACTGTGCTCATCGCAGTAAAAGCTAGAGTGTATGTAAGGTAAGATGATCCTCAGTGTGGTTTCTTCTGTGGAGGTAAGGTGTGGAAATCTGTCATGTTTAATCAGAATCACTCTTAGTGTGATTCCTGCAAATACAGGCAGAAAACGGCTGATCTGTGACCTGAACGAACTGGCACAACATCTCTTTCACACTGCATCTACTAAAAAACCCATTTCTCTGTCTCTCATCTTACTTTAGTACTTTAGCAGATCCCCCAGAAAATTCGACTCAAAAATGAAAACCATCTCAATATTATTTACTAAATCTGTCCTTTCTGTAAGCATTTTTTGGCCCTTTTTCAAACTTTTAATAATATGATAGCCAATAACAATAACATCATAGTAGTAATAGTGATTTATTATAGTGAATTATTGATTTATAGTGAATTATTACAGTTTTTAAAAAATAATAAACAGCTATTATTATAATACAACAATTACTACTACGACTACTATTAAAAACAACAGCTATTATTGAATTGTCCTGCATCTTGAAAAAAACATTCTGCTGATTTGCAAAAAAAAGGCTTATTACTTAATTTGATGAGCAAATTTTGTTAAAAAATATTTGTTCAAAAATAACAATTAAAACGATCATACAGTTATTCACAAAATGGAAAGTGTTCAAATACTCAATTTAATGTCAAAGAAATATACATAACCATGTTTATAAATAAGCATTTTTACTTCAGATAAGCACATTTTTTACACCGTTTAATAATACGGTAACACTTCATTTTAAGGTGTCCTTGTTACACGTTACATGTACTTGCTATTATAATAACAATAAATTATGCCATAATTACATGCAAGTAACTCCAAGCCAAACCCTAATCCTAACCCTAACCATATAGTAAGTACATGTAGTTAATTAATATTACTCCGTACTTAAATGTGCAATTACACTGTAACAAGGACACCTTAAAATAAAGTGTAACCAATACTACTAATAATACAGTATTATTAACACTAGCAACAACAACAACTACTACTACTACTGCCATTGTTGTTATTAGAAGTTATAAGTTATTTATTATTGGTGTTAAAGCCATAGCATGAAAAAATAGACTGTTAACGGTAGGACTTTAAACGGTAGGAAAGACTGTGAAAAACGGTCTTTAAACTTTTTCCCTAACCTAAGTGTACCTTAAGACAAAATAAATAAAATGACAAATTCATGGACAACAAGCTTTACCCTGATATTTGTGCAGTCTGACTCCCACACACCTGATGCCAATAAATGCAAACCACTGACAAAGAAGATCATTGCCGCACACCCTTAAACCCTGCAAAGCTTTTCATCATACTCTTCGAAAAAACACCCTCTCTCACTCCCTCCATCTCTGCAGAGGCTGTCTGACAGTCCTGACCACAACCATTCAATGTGTGGAGGCAGAGAGCTGAAGAGAGAGATAGAGAGAGGGGAATATTTTGTGCAGGGTGTCTAGACTACATTCATGATCAATCTGTCTGGCCCTGCTGTAGACAGAGAGATGGCAAACTCGATTAGACTCTAAACATTTCCTCAGATTCTGTCTCGCTCTCAGCATATTTCGTCTTCACTAACGTCTATCAGCATCATTCCTCTCTCCCTCTAGCAGTATATGGCGGCTGTTTGTCTGCTGGGGAAAGGAGCATTACTGCTCTAACAGCTCTGACTGAAGACACCCCTCAGAGCAGAGGGAACACAGGGGAGCATGACACGGCAAGAACAGATGACTGATTTCAACACAGCCAGGACAGAAAAACACTAGTCTCGCGTAGCCAGACCTTCAGACTGACGGCTGAAGGTCTGGAATCCATGGCAGCTTTCATTGGCCAAGGACCGCCCATGAGGCTGTTTGACCGATATGCCAAACAACTAATCACAGTTCGTTTCGTCACGTTTTGGGGCGTGGAAATGTCGCCACAATAACAGACCGGTGTGTAAAACTTATTTGAAAGATTCTATGCTGCGAACTTAAAATATTTCACATACTTTTGAAAATCCAGCGTTTAGTTGATCCTGATAAGTGCTCGTCATCACCGTTGTAAACACGACAGCTTTCTTCTTTCCTGAAGGGGGTTTGGCGTCATGGCATCTTTGTTTCCAGGAGGAACGTTAAAGAACGCGACACACACGTCTACCGGAAATCCTGTATAATTCAACCAATCCGATGACGACTTCGAAACTCCTGAAGTATTTCCACTTTTGTGTGCCATATGCATCAGACGTTCAGCCAACAGTCCGTGGGCGTGACGTCTGAGGCTGAGACTAGAAAAACTCAGACGGAGCTACGTGCTTTTCTAACTTTTCTGCCTACTCTGGTTACCTCAAACTTGAAGACACAAAAGATCTACGGTAGATCAAAGCTTACTGGCTGCCACCGTCTCACGCCAGGGGCTGGACAAAATATTGAATATTCACCGTGAAAGTCACACACTTGCATCATTACAGAGCTAATATATGGGTCAATTACATAAGAGTAACCATTAAAAACTCAAATGAAAAATCTTTTAAAAGTTTTAAAACACCTGAAAAGTTTATAGAAAAGTATAATTTGCATTTATGTTGGTTTCATACGATAGAGTCACACCACATGACATTTTACAACCTGGACTAAAAGTGTCTTGTCAAAAAAGGTCAAATTAACCATTTTTATATATTTTTCAAAGAATGAATAGTAAAAGATAATGCCAATCTTTAGGCTTTTGTCTTATGCTATCAAGACAGCTGTATCACCCTGATACTTGTTACTTTATCCCCCACCCAAAAATATTAAAACAAAATTTAATTTAAAATTTAAAAAATATGCTAATCTTAGAAGAGGTATTCAAGTTGTTGTATGAGTAAATTGAATTTTTAATTTATTTTTGAAAAAAAGAAAATAACAAAATGAGTGTGTCATGTCATTGAGCCATGCATAGAGATGAATGTCAAATGCTATCAAAAAGGCTGAAAAATATAAAGATAGTTTAGCTATATGACCACATCCTATGTTGCACACAAACCACTTACACACACAGACACACACACACACACACACACAGTCCCTCTCCGCATTTCAGTGTGCAGAGACACCACTTAACACTCGTCTCACACTCACACTCTGCAGGTGGCTTGGATACAAACGCCTCAGGAATTCAGATGAGAACTGACCAATGTGAAGCAAGAAAACATCCTGCTGACTTCATCAGAACCAGAACACAGGCAGATCTGAGTCTGGAGCAACAATGTTAAAGAGATGGACTCACAGCTGAAGATGGCAGATGCAGGATGCTGGGTGGAGATGGGGCAGTGCTCCTCATCACTGTTGTCTCCACAGTGGTTGAGCTGATCACAGACCTGCGAGCCCAGGTTCAGACATCTGCCGTTAGTGCACAGGAATCTGCACTCTAGGGACAAACGCAGAAAACTACAATGACTCATTTTCAAATAGGTTAATCACTAACAATCAGGGTCAGTCTCTGTTTTCACATCTGCTGCATCAGGGCTTGTTAAATTTCCATCCTTGGATTGTTCTGGCCCTTGTGATAGGAAACTTAGTACTAGAAACAAACGTACAATTTTATATAAATACTGTTCTTTTGAACTTGCATCAAAGAATCATGAAAAAAAATGTACCACAGTTTTCACAAAAATAATAAGCAACACAACTGTTTCAACACTGATAATAATAAACCATATTTTTCCAGCACCAAATCAGCACATATAGAATAGCTCCTTAAAACTCTAATGTAACTAAATGTAAAAGCTGCTTTTTTTAAAGGGATCATATGACGTTGCTAAAAAGAACATTATTTTGTGTATTTGGTGTAATGAAATGTGTTTATGCGGTTTAAGGTTAAAAAAACATTATTTTCCACATACTGTACATTATTGTTTCTCCTCTATGCCCCGCCTTTCTGAAACACGTAGATTTTTTCCTCCATAAAATGTGCTGCACACATCTGAATATTTGGGTTGAACTGTTCTGGAACGTTGTTGTAAATACAACTTAACCACTGATTTCTAGTCGTGTCCTCTTTTGGAAGGCCAAACAAAGTAGTTTCGCTTTCACAACGAAGCACACAGTGACTTCACGACATGACAGCGGCGGCAACAATACTACAGCGTGAATAAAAGTTATGCCTTCTTTCTTTGTGTGAACATTTGGGCGGTGTTATGCAAATCTTCCCACATCGTGATGTAGACATGTGGGGGCGTGTTGGAACAAGCCGTTTTAGGTAGGCGTGGTTGACTCTTAACTTTTATAAAGAATATCTATTTGGATTTGAGACTTTAGTCTTTGCAACTTTACAGATCTTCTTTATGCACCAAGAGCTTGTTTTTAAGGAAAAATTGAAATCGCATCATATGACCCCTTTAACAGCATTTTATTTTACGATAGCTAGTTGTCAAGTTTAGTTGTAATTCTCAGACGCAAAACTATCAAACCGGTGATTCTGCTGCTGGATATTTTTCCATAAATGTTAACATTTGGAAGAACTTAACATCTCAACAACTAAAACACTAGGACGTCCTGTGAGGATCTGAAAATGCTTAGCTGCAGGAGTTTGTGGGATAGTTTCACTGGGCCAAAAACTTTACAGAGATTTGTGGATCTCAGGCGGCGATGATCCTCTATATGTAGGTCACTGGCTTTTATAAATGATCTTAAAATAAGTGTTCCTGCAAGCATGCTATTAGAGAAACTCAACATTGACCTGATAACGGTGGATATTCAGCTGTATGGAAGACTCTTCACTATACAGCATTAACAGAGGACCAGAATGTAATGCAAACCAGACAGTGATGACACCAGCACTATAAACAACTTATCAGTGTGAGAAGGAGGTGCTAGACAATACCAAAGCACACCCATGCAATCTCTCAGAAGGTGTGGTGCAGCCCAATGTGGTTTTAAAAATGTTATGATCTTTAGACAAACAAATTTGCAGTTCTTTGCCCTACTTACACCTTAATATAGCATGAGACATGAGACAATCCCAACATTCACCTGCACAAACTGAACAGCACAAAACAGCAATAATCAAGATAGAATAGGAGAGACAGGACATAAAATGACAAGAAGACAAGATGAGAAGAAACTAGAGAGCAAAAGAACAGAAGCAGACAAGAAGTAGATGAGACAAGAAAATGGAAAACATAGGGAACAGACAAGATGAAAAGACAGGAGAAAAATCATATTGGACAAGAGAGGAGAGGAGAGGAGAGGAGAGGAGAGTCATTATATAATGTCAGTAAAGTAGCATATTTTTCCAAGTCCTGTTCTGCTGTCTGTCTGCAGTGCACTAGACTGTCAAACTGTGGTTTAGTACACAGCCCAGCCTCCACCGCCCTCCACCCATCTCGCACTTTCTCTGCATTCCATTCCAGTCAGGGGAGAGAAACGCAGCCTGTCGGAGAAATGGAGCAGAGGAGTCTGGGAAGGGGAGGGGGAGTGAGAAAGCAGCTTTGAATATTAGCACGCACGCACGCACACAAACACACACACCCCCACCCAGACCATCATGAGTTTGTAAAGCACAACATGACCCTCCTTATGAACATAATCTTCACCGCTGGCATGAATCATTAAATTCACGTTCACGCCAACCGATTATCCCGCTTAATTCCAGCACTGAGGTTATAAACCTGATCTGCCGCTCACCTGTGAAAGCATTGGTGGCCGGTAGGTCAGCCTCCTGCATACTGCTCCTGCCGCTCGGCCCGTATGTGTGTGTGTGGACCCACGTTATTGGCTCCAATCGCCTGAGGGCTCCTGGGGGCCAAACAGCCGACGTGCTGCCATTCTCACCTCATAAGTCCATGGCTCCTGCTCCGGCCGCTGCCCTCTACCTTCACGAAAGGGCAAAATAAACTCAGGAGAAAGGTGAAGGGGGGCTAAAAAGTCTTCAGTGACAGACTAGGGCTCTATTCAGCAGGAATCAGGGTGGGGTTGCCAGGGCAACCAGCGTACCGATTACCCTCCCAGCCAGAGCCAGCCAGCCATAGCTGTGTGAGAGTGAGCGAGCGAAAGATTCAGAGCAGGTGTCTAAAAGCCAATTCAGGAAGGGATTCAGTAGCTGCTGCCGCTCTTCCTGGGTGGATAAACTCTTCTCAGCGTAGCAGCATGCTAATCAATGCACCCCACCTCATCCTTCAGACCGCAAGCTCACTGAGAGAGACAGAGAGAAAATCAGTTGTGTGGCTGAAATGCATACAACCAAAAATTCACTTGCAGAATTCACTTACAAAAGGTCACTATAGTTTCCTCTAAGATTTACTACAGCTGTTTTACTGGAGTTAGTACTACACTGCTGTTCACAAAGTTTGGGTAAGATTTTTAATGCTTTTTTAATGGAGTCTTTTATGCTCATCAAGGCTGTATTTATTTGATCAAAAATACAGAAAAAAACATTAGTAATATTGTGAAATATTATTGTAATTTCTAATACTGCTTTCCTATTTTAATATATTTTAAAATATAATTTAAGCCATTACTCCAGTCTTCAGTGTCACATGATCCTTCAGAAATTACCGGTATTCTAATATGCTGATTATGTTGAAACTGCTGTGGTGCTTAAAGGGGGGGTACAATGATGTTTCATGCATTCAGAGTTGTTTACACTGTTAAAGAGTTGGATTCTCATGTGAAGCATGGACAAAATTTCAAAAAACAATTTGTATTTCTGTGCTAAGAATCTTACTTCCGGGTTCGTACAAGTTTTGGAGAGTTTTTTTCGATTGTGGCTCTTCATGACGTAAACGAGGGTGGAACTCCTTATATGGGCATTTCTCCTGGAAGAGCGCGCCCGCGCACACATGGACACACCGAGAGCAAGAGCGCGCCCATCAACGCACTTCATTCAGCAGCGCTGCATGGGACTCGCTCGGGAAGAATGTCTCTAAAGAAGTCTGTTTTTGGTGGTAAGGGAAAGATAACTTTGTTCAGATTCCTAAAGAACCCAACGTTATGTAAACAGTGGATGCAGTTTGTTTTTCCGGAGCAGCAACGCAGTTTCACAAGCGTGTTTGTTGACGAACGTTTTATAAACAAGGCCCAGCTTGATGCTGGATTAGCACATCGTTTGATACTGAAAGATGGAGCGGTCCCAGCTATAAAAGACCCTGGTCATGATTCAGAACCGCAGACACCGAAATCATACCGAACCGTGACGTTAAAACCGAGGTACGTACCGAGCTGTCATATTTGTGTACCGTTACACCCCTAGCAGACGGTAAGTGAAACTGCATCAAATGTCTGTATTTTGTTGGCAGTTGGAGCTCAAGTGCTCGTCACTCTTTAGCTCCGCCCACGGCACGCCTCCAGGAGCTCTGCTTTTTCCGTAGAGAATCGTAAAGAAGTATCTTTCTTTTATAAATGTGATAAAACTAAAGACTTTTTGGAGATATGAAGGATGCAGTACTACTCTATAGGTACTCAAGATTAACATGAGATGGGTGAAACTGTGTGTGTTATGTCCCCTTTAATATTTTTTGGAACCTGCTATACTTTTTTTCTTTGATTCTTTGAAAAGTTAAAAAGAACAGCATTTATTCAAAATAGAAATCTTTTCTAAGTCTTTCCCATCACTTTTTATCCATTTAACACATCCTTGCTAAATAAAAGTATTAATTTCTTTACAAAAACTTTTGAATAGTAGTGTATATTGTAACAAATAAATTATATTTTGAATAAACACAGTTCTTTTTAACTTTTTGTCCATCAAAGAATCCTGAAAAAAGTATCACAGGTCCCAAAAAATATTTAGCAGCACAACTGTTTCCAACATTGATTATAAATCAACATATTAGAATGCTTTCTGAAGGATCATGTGACACTAAAGAATGGAGTATGATGCTGAAAATTCATCTTTGCGTCACAGAAATAAATTATAGGCCTATTTTAAAGAATATTCAAATAGAAAACTTTTATTTTAAATTGCAATAATTTCACAAAATTAAAATTTATTTTTGGTATTTTTGATCAAATAAATGCAGCCTTGATGAGCATAAGAAACTTTAAAAAAAAAACATAAAAAATCTTACTGATCCCAAACTTTTGAACGGCACTGTATGTGGAATCTTGTTTAGGGATTGACAACGAATCAATTAATGATTCACTGGGTTGATTTGATTCATTTGATTCAATTCAAATGGAGAACAATTCCGTTTGATACACAATTTGATTTAATTTGTTTATTAATTCTGTCACATAAACCTTTAGAAATCATTCCAATATGCTTATTTTCTTATTATTATCAGTGTTGCGCTGCTTATATTTTTGAGGAAATGGTGATACATTTTTTCAGTATTTTTTGATGAATAGAAAGTTCAAAAGAACAAATGCACTAACAAAATACTAAAAAAGGAAATAGCATTTGAAAGAGAAATCTCTTGTATCATAAATGTCTTTACTGTCAGTTTTGATCAAATCAATGCATCCTTGCTAAGAAAAAAAAAAAGTATTAATTTCTTTAAAAAAAATAAGCAATCATACTGACCCCAAATATTCAAACAGTAATAAAACAAGACCAATATCAAAGTACCTTCTACTAACCCTGAACCATTGTTTTTCAAAGTAATGAAAACTACTGGATACCACCATAGATGTAGTCATCTAAGATGCTGTCTGATCTGGCAGACAAGTTCTGAGACAGACATAAAAAAAAATCAGACAGACCCGACACAAACGCAACACGGGTGTTTCATTAAGCAAAAATTAGAAACAGCAGGGGTTCAACACATCAACATTTTATGATCTTACGGCAGATCTTTACCAGCAACAAAACATCAAGTTCCTGTGAAGAGATGCCCATTAGCGTCTACAAACCCCAGCAGGAGCGTCAGCCGTTAATGACTGTTACATAACACACACTTTACTGGACACCGAGTTATCAAGCCACAGCTAATGTTTCGGTGGCTTAATATCATTGATTTAATGTCTCAAAAAAAAAAAAGAGAACAACTCCATTTTCATTTGGAGAAGACTAGAGCAACAGACGAGGCAGTACGTGTCCTCAGACAACCTTTAAAGCTCTCTGACATCCCAGCGGACACCGCACTGAACCCAGACTGCCGACTACACATCGGCTGTGTTACTTAGAAACACGGCAAGCCCTCACCTCGTCTGACCCCTGCCGCAAGCCACACAGCGAGAGCACGGATCCAGCACACAATAAATAATATTCCACAAACGTGAAACAGGAGAACGCCGTCCAAATCAAACAAAGACTGAGAAACACTCACAGTCAGCCGAGGTCGTTTCAGGACACTACTATGGCCATCGCAGATAAAACAGATGAACATCTGCCAGATGTTTAGATTGACTTTTCTTCATTGTTATCCCTTTGCTCCTCTATGGGTCCCTTTCCTAAGTGGTTCTCTTCTCACAGTCAAGTGTGAACAAACCATGAATCTAAGGCTTTGTTCAGACTTAGGATGAAAAAACTAAAAATAAATATCAAATTATTTTTTAATTATCAACTTATATTAAAATATCCTGACATATACTGACCAAAGTTAAAATTATATATTTATATATAAATATATAAATTATTATTATTATTATAATAAAGAATTAAAAATATTGACATTGCAAACCTAATGGCAACTATTCTTTTCTAAATTCTATAATTCAGTATAAAGTCATTATTTTCATGTTATGACTGCTAACAATAAATTGCGGAAATTAAAATTCAATACTAATCTGCCATTTAAATGCTACAAGTAAATTTAGAAATCACAATATTATAATGTACAGCATTAAATTTATTTATTTTGAGACTGGCTAATGATTATATTTAACAGTATTAAGTTATTTAAGTGTTTTTAAAAATAATTTTAAAACTTGTTAGATGGTGGCAAAGGTATATATACAATATTTAACAAATACCAATAATAAAAAAACAGGTAACCAATAAGATACCAATAAGTCAAATATAAACTGAACCATTCTTTTATGTGCAAGAGGTTCATTGGTGTTGATCAGTTCCTATGGAAAAAAAAAAAAGTTTTCCCTTACAGACAATTTTTATTTAAGATGCTAACTCAAAAAAATGAGCTCATGTGATAACAAAATGTCCCTGGAATTTTGAGTGCTTCCTTTGGTGAAGAAATTCTTTACATTTCTAAGATTCAAGTCGAGGAAAGATGTTCAGAGTATAACATTTTTGGCCAATAAAATGACAGAAAATCATTGTCAGTTTTGGTCCGGATCAATGTCTTATCCCTATCATCAGTTAGAACCACAGAGGAAAACCTCCTCAACATTTAAAACAACACCAAAACATGCCGACTAAATTGACTTAAATATGCCGAATAGACTTTTTATTAATGTCGGTATTGCCCAGAATTTTAATATCAGTGCAAAAAACAACCAACCAAACAAACAAAAATGATAATAACCCAACTAAAAAACGAACAAACTGAACCAGACGTAGAATCACATTAGGACACAGAACACTCCACCTTTAGAGACTCTCAGTCCTAATACACACAGAGTTTGATGAATAGGCTGAACAGCAGCCATGCTGAAAAGCACTAAAACGACTGCAATAAACGCCTGCTAAAATATTCTCTGTATCTGTCTGTCTGTGTAATGTGATCTCAGCAGGGGGTCTGTCTCTTTCTCACTCTCAGTGCCTGGTTAAATCATGATGAAGCTCTTAGGAACAACTATTCGCTGAACTGAATCATCCAGCCAGACTCAAACATCATAACAGCCCATGTCATTAATCATTAGTAAAAATGACTAATAGCTGCTACCTTGCCTGTCAGTCTGTCTCAAAAAAAAAAAACCCCAACAAGGTGATTAAGACTCAGTGAAACATGAAACAGTGGGGTTTTGTATCAGCCTAAATTTGTTTACTTGCCAATAACAACCAGCTGACTGTACATTATCCCACTCATTACACAGCTTTTTACCAAATAAAATAAAATATTTTATTCTCTTACTTGTAGATTAGCTATCTTTACACCTTCTGTTTAAGAAAAACTCCATGGTCCAGGCAAGCAGGGAAAAAAAAATCCACTTTTACAAAGTGAAAGGCCACCGCATTCATGCCTTGCGGTTAATCAGACAGATTAATCATTTTCCTGCCCATGTCCTAAGCTGACCTGACAACCAGAATCTGCAGGTCAACAAATGATGACTCAGCTGTCTGGGTTAGTCAG